ATGGATTTTTCATAACAAAGGATATCAGCACGATTGAGGCTCAACCAATCCATGTCGATGATGACATTGAAACTTTTTATGGAAACTGGCATAAGGTCGACTGGAAAGGAATGGTCGTTTAGGGTAAGGGTACAACCTATGAATATGTCGTTAGTGCTCTCTGTCTTTTTGTTAGCCATCTTGAAGGTAAATGTTTCGGTTAAAGGTTGGGATTTATGCTTGAGTAGATGTTTAAATGCATGACTAACAAAACTCCTCTCCGCACCACTATCGAAAAGAATGCATGCATAAGAATCATCGAGGAGGAACGTACCCGTAACTACGGTGGGACCAGTGACTGCTTCCTCCTGGCCCATAGCTAGAACCTTCCCTGTATTGCTTGCAGTTATCGCTGTTGGGCAATTCCTCTTGTAATGCCCGGTTTCATCATAGCCATAGCAGACTTGACCAATTACATCTCCAGGAGCCTGATTGGTTGGTTGGACTTCTGTCTTGCAGAAACGGGCTGTGTGTCCCTTTTTTCCACAACTGTTGCATTGCATGTCACGGCAGGGTCCGTGATGATGAAAGTTACACTTATCGCACCTTGGAAGGGTTCCAGCATGTCACGGCATGTCAAATGTTAGAGGTTTAGCAGCCAAGACGTTCCCTTGAGTTGGGGGTATCAATCCCCATATGTACCTCTCAATTTTCTTGCTTTCCGGGGTGACCATCCCAGGACACAGAAGTGTCAGGTCGCTGAACCTAGCAGTGTACGCAGCAATGTCAGAACCCTTCATCTTCAGGTTCCAGAGCTTGTGCTCCAGCTTTTGCATCTCGCCCCATGGGCAATACTCCGCAAGCATTAGTTCTTTCAAATTCTCCCAACCCATGGCATTGGCTACCGACAGAGTTAGGGATGTGACTCGGCTATTCCACCAAGTAAGTGCTCTATCGGTGAAGGTGCAGGCGGCGAACTTCACCTTGCTTGCCTCGGGGGAAGCACAGATCTCGAAAATTGATTCGATCTTCTCGAACCAACGAGTTAGGGCAATGACACCTCCATTGCCGTCAAAGGATTTGGGTTTCGCGTTCATAAAGTCTTTGTAGGAACACTCCTTCGGGTGTCCCTGACCACCATCAAGATTAAGGGGATGGGTACCACTTCCCGATCCGCTAGTGCTGCCAGAATTGATCTGCGACATTGCGGCAGCCACAACGTCTGTAACTACTGCTTGGAACATAACAGGATCGAACTGAGGAGGTGGTGGCGGCGGATCTGTCGGAGGGTTATTGTTCTTTCTATTGGGTCTCTTCCTGGGAGACATCTTTCTCTAAAATATACAAGGGGGAAATGACGATAAGCCTTCTATATTGCTCATGAGTCGGATACTTTCGAACAATATATATCTAAATTCTAAATGCTTAATTTCTTGATCCTACAGCGTTAACAAAGATCTACAATAAAGGTTCACTAACACAAACAAGGAATTGCAGGTCTTTCATTTGTTGGGATTAGTACTACTTGTAATAATTTTTTGTAGTGTTATAAAGTTATAAAATACTCCTATAGTATTTTAACTATGGGCTTCATTAGTATCGGATTTGGTGAGTTTTAGACTTGTCGTAACACCACAGTTACTCTCAAACACATGTTGGTCATATCTCGGACAAATATAGTTGATCAGGTTATATTGGCCCCACATATGATTACATAACTATTCAGGTTTAACAATAGTGCCCAACTCGTCCTAAATACTTTTATGTAGTTCTTACTATGATACAGCTTCTAGTATGTATGTATACTTGTATACTTCTTGTAAAATACTTAAATTTTAAAAGTATACTTTTAGTTTCAGAGCGCTTCGGCCCCTTTAGTGTTTATAGTTGTGTACCATGTAAGGTTCGGTATACTTAGTTCACTATAAACAATAGCTCTGATACCAATCTGTCACACCCCCCAAACCGAAACGACGGAAACGTTCGGGGGTGGAGGACGTCATGTATAGTATCACAACAATTGCATCATAGTAATCAAAGTAAACACAACCATTACATTGAATAAGTAAAATATTTACATCTGTTTGATACATAGTTTGTATACACCAAAAGTATAGCAAAATATAAAAGACATGACTCTATACGCTCCGTCATATCAAAAGCCTGCGGGAGTACCTGTCTACTGATTTCCTGAGAATACAAGCGGTTTTGAAAAGAGTATCAGCATTAAAGTTGGTGAGTTCATAAGCATGTTTTTTTTGTAATGAAAACCTGTTAATGAATCTGTGAAAATGTTTGTATGTTTCCAAGAAAATCCAATATTTTCTAACATATGTGTTCGTTACGGTGTTCCATAAAGTATTAGATCGTTGCCTGGTTACCACCATATATATTGTATAATGTTGTTTAGAATATAAATCCTTTTGTATGAAAACCCTGGCTATCACCAGTATGTATAGAATATTATGTTTGAAAAACCTAGTTACCACCAGTATGTATAGTAGTTTCATTACTTAAAATAAAACCATGTATTTTATCCCCTGGAATCCTCCAGTATAAGGTGTAGTAGTTCTATTAATTAAAATAAAAGTAATGAATAATGAAATCCCTTAAACAAAGGTTAGTTTATATTATTGTGAGTCGTATAACCACGCTTGATATGACTGATGACCTCTGCGACGTTCTTCAGGCGTCGTACGGTATGATATTTGTCACCCCAGGCATGCCTGCCTAACTGTAGCTAGCAGTTTAGGTGTGGGATTGTCAGTCCCGAATAGATCTATTCATAAATCTCATGCTCTCCCTCCAGGAAACTCTGGTTACACTAATGATAGGATTTAGCTCGCACCCCGAAGGGTACAAATGAAGTGATGTCTCACAACCGTGTATTAACTAGTTTACATGTAATGTATTGTTCTCTTGTACTTGAAACTATACGCATGTCTTGTAGAGTAAAAATAATTATACTTAAATAATTATTTAGTATGGTACTCTTGTATTCATAATGTAGTAATGTATACCATAAACTATATTTGTCATAGTTTATATAATTGTTAATGTATAATCCTGAGATTGTAAAACTATGTATTGAAATCCCAGACTATACCTATTATAGTTTGCATGTTTGTTAAGTACTCGGTTCGTGTATTGTTCTGAAAACTATGCAATTATAGTTGTGAGTTGAAAACTTCCCTTATCCTCAGCATGTTACAAAAGGGATAAAATATCTAAATACTTTATAAAATGTGGTGATCTTTTGGTTGTATCAATTGCATAAGTTTTAATCCTGTTGAAATTATGTATATAAAGTTCACAAAAACTATTTGTGTTTGGCTTGTATTCCTCCCCTGAAAACGTTAAAATAGAAAAAGCGTAGGGGTATGAACTCACAGTTGGTTGCGTGTATGTGCCAGACAACGAGACTAGAAATGAGGACCCTCGAGTTTGTTGTACGCGAAGCTAACGGAATCCTAATAATAATTAAACACATATTTGTATTTAAATTAGCGAATCCATTAGTTAAAGTGTTAGAAAAAACACTTGCTTTTGGTTAAGGAATGTTACCGAGACTCGATCGAGGTGGAAAAGTGGGTTTGCAGCCACGATTCATGATTTTGGGTGGTTTGCGGCCGTGAAAGGTTTTCGGTCGTGAACTGTTTTCAGCCGTGAACTGTTCTCGGCTGTGAACGGTTTTCTGTCCTTGAAGGGTTTACGGTCTTTGAATGGTTTACGGCCTGTTCTTGGTGTTCTTGGTGAAATATGAAGATTTGAAGGGTTTACGGTCGTGAACTCAAGAATGAGGAGTGTTTGATTTGATGAAAGGATGAATGTTTGATGCTCCAAAACAAGATCCAAGGTGGATTGGGTGATAGATGAAGAGAAAACTTTAGTTTTCGGTTGATGGTTTTAGAGGGAGAAAGTAGTGTTTTTGGCCAGAAAAGTAGAAATGAAGATGAAAACATATATATATATATATATATAATATATAGATATATATATATAATATTATATATATATATATAATATATATATATATATCTATAGATATATATATATATATATATAATAGGCTGGGGTTCACGGACGGTGGTGGGGTCCACCCAGCCGTAAACGGTTTACGGCCCTGAACCTGTTTGCGGCCGTAAACACTGAGATGACGAGTCTTGGCTGATTTTCGAAAAAAAACTTGATTTTTCGCACGATTCTAGACCCGACACATATATAAATTTAATTTATACAATCTAAGTTGTTTTTAACCTTTACAAGTTTGACAAAATTGACAAAACAAAATAAAATCCAAAATTTTATTTAACGGGATTTGAATTTCAATGACTGAAAATTGTTCGGGTTGTCACATATACCTTGAATTATCATATATTAAGTGATATTAGGATTGTATTTGCTCACAAAACATTAACAGTATTTTGCATATATACTTACATATAAGTTAAATAACCATGCACTCTTGGCATTTAAAGTTGTTATTGCATCAAGTCATGTTGTGAATTTACTGGTACATGGTTGTAGTCTAGACTTTTATTGACTTGAACAACGGGTTGTTACAGATGAGCATTGTTTAATTCTTGTTTTCCACAATATAAGTCTATGCAATTTAAGCAAAGGTTTGATAAGCATTGTTTAATTTGTGAGTTCCACAATAGAAGTCTATGCAATTTAGCAAAGCTTTGATGAGCATTTTTAATTCTTGAGTTCCATACTATGCCCATTTTTTTTTTTTTTAAAGAGCCAAAGCTCAGCAAACTTTATTAAAAAGAATAAAAGAATACAAAAACAAACGGAAATAAAATAGTCAAACAAAATACAAATCTAACCAACCTATCCATAACCAACTACCAAGCCACTTTTTAATAACCAGACTTAACCACCCAAAAACCCAAAAAACCTTATTATCCTTAAAGCTAGCCCAAAGACTTATTGAAAGTGGGAAAAAAGGTAACTTCACCCCCTTGCACCACCAAAATCCCCAAAGATCATTAATACCTAAGCAAGGGGTAAGGCCCTTAAAAAAACCCACAGTCCGAAGGCCAAGCTTTAAGAAAAAACCCAACAAAACCACAATACTCCCTACACAATACATAACATAGAACCAATAAAAGATAACACAATTATAACACTCATAATTGCAACTATAAAAAAACCCCATCAATTTATCAATCCCGCATCTTCTGTCACTTCTCCTCTCATCAATCCTCCACTTAGTCTTCAACAGAAAAGACTCCATCTGCTTGCAAACATGATCCAAACCCGACCTTTGCAAAAAATTCCTGCATATCAAGCACAAGCCAAACCACAACAAACTAACACCAAAACTCCAAGAAATCAGAACAAGTTTCATACTAGACATGGCATCAATCACATGTCTAGGATTCTCCATTTGGATAATCTCAATAAAGATCATATCCAAACAGAAAATCCCATAGGTACAAGTCACATGATTTGAGAGCAAACTCTCAAACCAGTAACACAATCCGTCAATTCCTTTGTAAAGAAACTTATTCCAAAAATGCCCCCACCAATCCACAGCATTAAGATCACCAAAGTTAAACATCCTTCTATGCCAACCCCAAAACCAATAGCCACCAACCAACAAACTAAAAAACCAGAAAATAGCATCCATTACTTAAACTTTTTCCATTCCAGAAATACCCCAGGCCTTAAAAACTTTATCATTGACCATCTTAGCCTTTTTCCTCAACCCCAACAGCATTAAATGTATTTCACTTTCAATACAAGCAATCAGCCCCTTATACGAATTTCTCCTGTTACTAAATAGTCTAGAATTTCTCTCCTTCCAAATATGTGCAACACAACTAGCAAAAACACATTTATTAACCAGATTCTCACCAGAATTCCTTTTAAACAAACTGCACAGCTTCATAATCAATTCATTCCAATCATCCATAAAAAGATTAAGACCCATCTTATTACAAAAATACCTCCAAATAAGTTGAGAATAATCACATTTAAAGAAGAGATGAACATGTGAATCAGGAGTAACAGCACAAAAAGGACAAAGTAAGTTACCAGAAACTTCCCAACCTCTGACACGATCCTGGGTCTTCAATCTATTCAAAATAGCCATCCACAAAATAAACGAATTTCGAGGAATGCAATTACCATACCAAACAATATCATGCCAAGGAACTTGGTCTCCAAAATTATTTATATCACACCACACCTGTTTGCATGAAAATTGTTTACATATTCCTTTCTTATCTCTCCAACCTGCAACATCCCTCAGATTAGGCTCAATACAAAACATGGGAGCATCCTTCAATCCAGGGAATATATTAACCCACTCAACCGGCCAAGTATAGCAATCATAGACTAGAACATCACTGACCAAGGAAGAATCACTAAACCCATTGCTAACCCAATCTCTTCTAGATATAATAGAACATAAAATACCAATTGGGTGCCACCAATCATGCCAGAGAGAAGTATTCATCCCGTTTCCCACACACGAAACAACATGGGGCCTAACAATTTTTCTCACCTCAAGGAACCTCTTCCAAGTCCAGCTCATACTCTTCTTCTGCAAAATATCCCAAAAATTCCTGTTTCCAATGTAATTGGATTTCACCCACTGAACCCACAGAGAATTTTTGCTATTAATCACATTCCACACATGTTTAGCTAACAAAGCATCATTCCATTTCCTTAAATTCTTCACTCCTAAACCACCATAAATTTTCGGCTTACAAATATCATTCCACTTGACTTTAGCTTTCCCTTTGACTACCTCACCATTCGCCCACAAGAAACTTCTACAAAGCTTTTCAATCTCTTTAATAGTAGCAATGGGAATTTTAAAAATCGAAGCCCAATACACATGAATAGATGTCAAAACAGAATTAATGAGCTGCAGCCTTCCAGCAAACGATAAAGCCTTGCTTTTCCAATTGAAAATTCTCATCTTAATCTTCTCAATAAGCTGTTTACAATCTCTATCAAATAATTTTGTAACACACATAGGAATTCCCAAATACTTAAAAGGAAATCTCCCAATATCAAAAGGAAGAATGCCCAAGATAATCCTTCTCATATTGGGTTTAACACAACTGAAGAAAATCTGGCTTTTTTCCATGCTCACCTTCAACCCTGAAACTTTTTTGAACTCATCAAGAGCATCCCTTATAACTCTAGCAGAATTCCCATTTCCATAAGAAAATACTAACAAATCATCAGCAAAGCATAAATGAGTAATTTTAAGGGACATACACTTACTATGAAATTAAAATTCTGGCCAGCTTCAATTTTCTTCAAAAGGATGATATTAAACACCTCCATAACTATAGTAAATAGGTAAGGAGATAGAGGATCACCCTGCCTAAGACCCCTCTTTCCTTCAAAATACCCATGATCTTCACCATTAAAGTTAAGCATGAACCAAGGAGTAGAAACACAAGCCATAATCCACTGAATCATTATCGTATGAAAACCAAACCCCTGCAGAATTCTACTAAGAAAATTCCAATCCACCGTATCATATGCCTTTTGAATATCAATCTTTATGGTGCATTTGGGAACTCCCCTCTTATTTTTATACCCCACCATCAGCTCCTGAGCAAGGAGAATATTATCCACAATAGATCTTCCAGGAATGAAAGCTGATTGATTTTTGCTCACAATATCACCCAAACTATTTCTAATTCTGTTCACTATAATCTTACTAATACACTTATATAAAGTGTTACAGCAGGCTATAGGACGGAAATCAGAAACTTTCCTCGGGAACTCCACTTTAGGAACCAGCACTATTCTCGTAGCATTAATCCCCTTCAACAATTTACCAGTCCAAAAAAATTCCCTCACAGCTTTACACACCTCCGGCCCAACAATGTTCCAAGAACTTTTAAAAAATTTGGAGGAGTACCCATCAGGTCCAGGGGCACGATTTTCATCAATATCAAACATCGCCACTTTGATTTCTTCATCAGTCACCACTCTAATCATATTAGCAGCCACCCTACTATCCAATTTATTATGAAAGAAACCATCATTTAAACACGAAAACTCAGTAACATCTTTACAACCCAAAAACTTATTGAAATGAGTAACAAATTTATCCTTCATAGCCTTCCCACTAACCCATCTTCCATCTTCATCAATAACCATCAGAATACGATTTCTATTGCCCCTGCTCTTCACAACTCTATGAAAAAACTTTGTATTATTGTCCCCTTCCTGTAACCAATTTATCTTAGATCTCTGGAAAAGAAGCTTTTCTTCATCATTACAAGCAACATTAAAATCAAAAAGAATATTAGTATGCTCCTCCCTAATCTTACAATCAAAAGGATTAAGATCAATTTCAGATTGTTTACTTTCCAACTCCTTTCTTAACATTTGGATTCTCTTCCCAGAACCCCTGTGCTTATTGCAAAGCTCCCTACAATGCTTTTTAAGAATCTTCAACTTTTGGCACACTTTGAACATAAAAAAACCTTCAATATTAGCATCCCAAACTTCCTTAACCAGGGGTAAGAACTCCACCTTTTCAGTGATAAAATTAGCAAACCTAAAAGAAGGTTTCCATCTCAATTTGCCAACAGGAACATTTAAAATAGCAGGACAATGATCCGACACCCTATAAGGTTTAAAAACAGCATGAGCTAAAGGATGATCCGAAACAAATTTCAAATTGGCCATCACCCTATCTAACTTCTTCAAAAGGCCCTTATTCCCAGCAGGAGTTTTATTCCAAGTAAACTGAAACCCAGAGGAATTCAGATCCTCAACTTCAATAAAGTTTATACAGTCAATAAAATCATCAACTCCTTTAGGCGTTTTGGAACAACCTTCAGAATATTCCGATGGTTTTAAAGCAACATTAAAATCACCTAATATTCCCCATGCTTCCTTCTTAACAACCAAACTATGTTTCTTCAAATTATCCCATAATAACCTTCTCTCAAGATAATTCGAAGCAGCATATATAAAAGACAAATACATGCTATAATTGGAATCACAGAATCTAACATAACAGTGAATAACTTGTCTAGACTGAGAAATCACCATCACATCAAAAAGTCTTGGATTCCATCCAACAATTATTCTAGTTCCAGCCTCACAGCTACTATTATTAGAAACCCAATCCCATTGACCAAAGGTCTTAACACAAACATTCTTAAGATTTAAGACCTTGACATGAGACTCCACCACAGCACATATACCAAGGTTATTACTCCTAATAACATCAATAACCTCCTTCTGCTTAATAGCTTTATTCAAGCCCCTGACATTCCATACCCCTATAGACATCATTGGGAAATAATAGAGTTTTTGGCATTTACCTCCTCAAATGCCTGAGAAATCCCATCTTTGCTTTTACTATTCCCCTGAACCATCATACTATTCTTCATTTTATTACTTTCATTCCCTACATTACCCTTCCCAACAAACTTAGAAGGATCCAACTTATTATTCATTATTCCAACAACATCAGAAGAATAATCAACACAATCACCTTCCTGATAACCATCAACTTTGCCTCCCTTAGCATCCTCTTCCATTCTATCCATAACTTCCTCATCAATCCTTCCCAGGATTTCAAAACTATTTTTAATACTGCAACCATCACTAGAAACAGTCTTATTTTCTAGACTCTTGTTAACACCCACTTTTATGTTATCATCCTTTATAGCATTCCCCTGCATCTTATTCTCCATTTTCCCCTGATTACCAACCAAAGCCTGACCATTAACAAACTTCTCATATCTTCTATTCTTTTCCAAATTCCAATGACCCACCCCTTTATTATTCCAATTCCCATTCTGTCCCCTTCCATTACCACCTCTATTCCCATAATTGCCTCTGAAATTATTTCCCCTGTTAAAATTTCCATTCTTCCCACTATATCTTTGATTATACAATTGAGCATGACCCTCCTTAGATTTACTAGTACCTTCACCATCATTATTTCCTGCAACCTTCTTATAAACAACCTCCGTAAATCCATCATCATTAACCATTTCCTTCCCTTTATTTCTCTTATTGTTCCCATTATCCCCATTCTTTACCACTTTCTCTTCATTCAAAGCTGCCAAACAAACTTTATCCGTATGCCCATAAACCTTACAGTGATTACATCTAGAAGGCATCCAAGCATACTCCACATCAAAACTCTGAACCACAGCAGAATTAGTAACAAAATCCCAAGTAGAAACCTCAATTTTCCTCATCCATTCCTTATCAGCCGCCATTTCAACAAGAATTCGAGCATAAGCGTTTCTACCCTTGTGTTCCAAACACATCTCCTCAGTAAAAGAATCAAAAGCCAGAGGCACCCCCAACTTACTCGCTATAATACACAAATTCTCTCCACTCCATACTTCCAAAGGTAAATCAAAGATTTTGATCCACACCGGAATTTTATCATGACTATTCTTGGTTAATTTCAGACCTGGTCTCCACCTTTGAAGAAATAATGGCATATTATTGAACATCAACCATGGGCTTCCCTCCAATATAGATAACATCCCCTGCTCATCACTAAATTTAAAAAAGAAAAACCCTTTACTGTTCATGAATATCTCTTCAAGACCCACATTCTTCCATAGCCTTCTAACCTCTTGCTGAATCACAGGAAACGCTAACTTCTTATCAATCATATACCCATATAAAGTATTAGTATATGGAATACTCGCTTTCTTTAAATTCTCAATCGGGATAATAACAGGTCCTTCTTCTTTGCCTTTTTCCCCTGGAATAAACTTGACATCAATCTTACCCTTATGTCTATTACCTTTTAACACACCTGCATAAGAGTTCAACAAGTTCCCCTGACTATCACCATCCACCTTTTTACAACTATTAGCATCACCCAAAATAGAAGGAAGCATATTAATACTATTAATAACAGTACCAGACTTCATCTTTAAACTAGGCTCTTTACTCATCTTAGTATTAACCTCCTCTTCCATCACAATTTCCTCATCTTCACTAGACTCATCCTCACTAGATTCATCTTCCCCATCCTCTTCAGAAGAACCATCATCTTCAGAATCATCTCCTTCCTCATTAACTTGCTTATTCAAATTTGACATATCGACATCCATTTCCTGATTCAACTTACTATCTAAATCCTTCCTCTTAGGTGTTTCCACCTTCAACTCATTAAGAAATTGAAAGCCAACTCCCGGAATAAATTCTTCATTACTGATAACCTTCTTATCACCATTAGATCTAGACTTCTCAACTTCATCATCAACCAAATCAGGGCATACAGGTTTATTGACATCAATCACAGCAATGTTAGGATTCACCCTAATCATTTCACTAGTAACACTCTTCAATTCCGAACTAGGGCTCAATAATTCATCATTCACCTTAGAACCATCCCAATTTTTCAACAAATTAGCAGTATTACCTGAAGGAATAGAGACAACTTGAACTCCAATAGTCTTCAGCTCACCAGAACCCCCATCCTTCAACCCCTTCATATTGCTATCATTTCCAGGAATTGAAATATTAGAATCCGACTCCCAGGCCGATACAGACTCCGAGTCATCTTCCGTTTCCTCCTCATTAGCTTCTTCAGTGTAGTATTCCTTTGCATCCATCGGTGATATCCCATCCACAATTTTCCGAGCTCTGTTCTTCACTCTGAAAGCTTTCCCCTCCATTTTCCATTCAGCTTTTCCAATCCCCGAAGCAACAGCTCCAGAAGCACTTGGCTTACGACGAGCTTTATAAATCGTAGCTGAGGACTGATCAATGACCCCAGGGGGAACTAGATCTTTCACATCCACTTCAGTCCTAACGTACCGGACAGCAGCACTTTTATCCGGTGGCTTAACTTTCACTTCCTTCAATCGATCCGCTTTAGATGACGCACCCATTAGGACAACGGAAACAAAGAGAAATTGCTTCAACGACTAAATGAAATTCGTCGGAAAAGCAGCACCGATGAACCAAAAACTAGATCGCACCACCGATAGAGAGAATCAGGGGAAGAGAGAGAAAGTAGCATTGTTTAATTCTTGAGTTCTACAATAGAGGTCTAAGCAATTTAGCAAAGCTTTGATGAGTATTGTTTAATTCTTGAGTTCCACAATAGAAGTCGATGCAATTTAGAAAAGCTTTGATGAGCATTGCTTAATTCTTGAGTTCCACAATAGAAGTAATCTATGAAATTTACCAAAGCTTTGATGAGCATTGTTTAATTCTTGAGTTCCACAATTGAAGTCTATGCAATTTAGCAAAGCTTTGATGAGCATTGTTTAATTCTTGAGTTCCACAATAGAAGTCTATGCAATTTAGCAAAGCTTTGATAAGCATTGTTTAATTCTTGAGTTCCATAATAGAAGTATTCTATGCAATTTAGCAAAGCTTTGATGAGCATTATTTAATTCTTGAGTTCCACAATAGAAGTCTATGCAGTTTAAGCAAGGGTTTGATGAGCATTGTTTAATTCGTGAGTTCCACAATAGAAGTCTATGCAATTTACCAAAGCTTTGATGAGCAATGTTTAATTCTTGAGTTCCAGAATAGAAGTCTATGCAATTTAGCAAAGCTTTGATAAGCATTGTTTAATTCTTGAGTTCCATAATAGAAGTAGTCTATGCAATTGATATATGTTTGGACCTAGATAGCCCAATTAAAAATGGATTACTTGCCAAGGAGGTGGGCTTTAATAATTTGGGTTTTGGAGTGTGCTTAATTTCTTGGATTTGGACTTGAAATGGGGTGGGCCGATTTTTTTTGGCTACATGGAAGTTGTGGCCGAGTTTTTTGGACTTATTGGTGATCACTCATTATTTTCTAGTCTTTTGTGTAGCATGGCCGAAATTGGAAGAGTCTTTGGAGTTTCTAGTCTTTTCCTTGAAGTTATTTAATAAAGCTAGTTAAATAAAAGCTCTTAATGATGAGCCTTTTCACTATTGTAACCCACGACTCCTATCACCTATATATAGGGCCGATTTCTACGGAATAGAACATCACTTGAACTTGTTGCAATTTGCTCTCTTTATCAGGTAAGATAGGTGTCTTATCGTGTTTTGTCGCGTGTCAATAGGTCTTGTCATTCGAACTAGTTCTTGCTTCAATAGGTCTTGAGGTAAGAACTAACCCTATCCTTTTCTCTATCTTCACAATCTCGTGTTCTATCCCTCTCTCTCCCCACCTATCCAAAATCAGCCCCCATACACGTATCATAGTGGTATCAGAGCTGAAACAATCCTGCAGTTACTATGGATTTTAATGATCCCAATTTTCTCTACAATCTTATAGAAGCACTAAGGAACATCCAAGATGGCCAACCTCGAACAGAAGCAAGGTGTGAACTTAGGACAAGTGAAGAATTCAAAGTCAACGAGTTGCCAGAATTCGCGGGTGGTACGGACCTGGAAAAATACTTGGAGTGGGAAAGAAAGATTGAATGCATGTTCGAGTTCAAAGATGTAGATGACAAAAAGGCATGTAAGTTTGCCTTCTTGAAACTTTGTGGGGGTGCCTCTTTGTGGTTCGAAGGGCTTAAAGCCAAGAGAACACGGGAGGGTAAAGATAAAATTGCATCGTGGGAATCATTAAAAAGAAAGTTAAGAAAAAGATATGTACCAATTAATCACCGCATGGCAACCTATAGAAAAATATCCGAGTTGAAACAAGGAAAAATGAACATGGCTGAATATATAGACGAGTTTGAAAAATTGTCACTTATGGGTGATATTGATGAAGTCGAGGAGCAAAAAACCGTCTCGGTTTTTACGCGGGTTGAACCTGAATATTGCTAACATTGTTGATTTGTATCCATATTCTGATTTTGACACTCTTTTGTGGCTTGTTTAAAAATTGGAAAATCAAGAAAAATACAGGAAAACCGGTGGCCCTCAATCCGAGATCGGGAAATCTAAGTCTTGGGGTAAACCCAAGAATGCAACCCATAATCCTTTTGTCGCGGGTAGTTATTCCAGAGTTCCCAAAACCACGACTCCTCCTAAAGATCCCAAGGACACTAGTTTGTGACAACCGTCAAATTTGAGAGAGTTCTAGATTTGAATAAACTTAGTTGCACATATAGGCACGACACATACTAGACTTTGTAACTAGATGCTAAGTTATAACCTACTAAAAACTAGGAAACAAGTAGAATCGATGGATAGTGTACTTAGATTTCACATTGATATGTGAATTCTACAACTACTTAACTGTAGTGACTATCCATATTCGGGTCGCTCTTTGACTCGAACACCTTTTCATGAATCATATACACACATTATGCACTTGACCTAGTAGTAGAAATTAGGTCGGAGTCTCGTGGAACTTAAGTCAAAGTTGAAACTATGACTAGTATACTTGGTTCTTCAAGTTCACTTGAATCTCGGAACCACTACATATAAATGCCAATAAACCGACAAAAAGGAATTACAAAGATTATTTATAACTATAAAAGATTTATAAGACTCAAAAATAATTTGATGCCTCCAAAATTCAATCTATCTTGATATCTAAAGTTTAGCAAAATCTGAAAACCCCTAAAAGCCCTACAAACTCATATTTATAAACTTTAACCCTAAAATTTTTATAAAAATAGTTATGAACCTTATAATATGATTTTATAATAATTAAAATTATGAAAATGCATTCAAGGAAAATAAAATTTAACTCATTAACATTTACCCTTAATTTATAAATAAAAAATCAAGAGTTTTATGCATAAAAAGTTGGTTAAGTTGCATATTTTATAAATAGTTGATATTTTTATAAAAGACTTAAATTTTATAAATAAAAAGGAGAAAAATATGGTAATAAACCTCTTAAATTCGGACCTCTCTCCTCTCTCTCTTACTTGAAAACCCTAATACTCTATTTCCCCAAAAATTTAAATCATTTCTCCTTTTCTCCACGCTTCACTCTCTCTCACACTCTCTAACACCAACTACATTCTCTATCTTCTCCACCCCTAAACCACGAAATTGCCAGAGAATAGGACTCAATAACACTCCTTAAACTCAAAATCTGAACCATCTTGTGGTGTTCTTGAAGGTAAAATCGATTTCTACTTCACTTTTCCTTCAACTTTTGTTATTTTTCTTACACTTTCTTCTTCTTCTACTCCATTCTATTGTAAAATCACGAACACTTGCACCTACTTACAGCTTTGATGATGATGGTGGAAGGAGTTAATCAAAAAACAGCATGCATGTTGTAGATGGTGAAGTCCCATGACCTAAACCTAAGTCAAAATCAAGGAAATGCACTTTTCTATATGTTTTGGTGGAAAAACACCACATGCATCCAAAGTTTTCTTTCAAAAACGAATTTTGAACATTTCAAACTCATGAATGGTCTTCAAACCAACATGCATCTGATGATCTTCAAGCTTAGATGCTAGATGATCAAAGTTTGTTGTTAAAAGCTTTCAAATATGTTCATAAAGGATTTATTCTCAAATAAATACCTAAAACTCTTTTCTGATCAAATCCGATTTTTGCACGAATTCCACTTATAAAATAAAATGATTTGTAAAGTTTCAGAAAATAATTCATTTTCCTCGAATTATTATAATAATTAAAATAAAATAGGACAATAAATAATATAAAATACTTTCCGATGTCTATAAATCCTAGGTAAGTTCATAGATGACATCTAAAGTAAATGATGACATGTCAATGAGTTTTATCGATTTTGGTTACTGTTTGGTATGGTTTTGAATTTTCTTTTTGTTTAATTCAAATAAATCATAAAACCACTTTAGGGAATGTTAAAAGGCTACCTAATATTTTTCGCAGATCGCACTTCATGTGGAATGCTCAGACAAATAGTTTCGGACTTTTTCATAGTGCATACCTATTTTCCCAGATTTTTGTATTTATAATGGACTAATAATGGGAAAAATAGTTCTACTCATCCACAATTCATGAACATTTACCAGAAAACCTAATAATATTTTAGAACTCTAAATAAAAATTTGGATGATTTTTCTATTAAGTATGCTATTTTTATTCTATTTTCTAAGATTTAATACACTTAAATCCACAAAATCGGATTACAATATATAAAAATCACCATTGGTATTTTTCCCGGATTATGTACACTGTAAATGAAGTTTTCAAAAATTTTGGTAATTTACTTTAACTGTTTGATAACTATTCACCAATTAATGATTATGCAAGAGAATAAAACAAAGAAAAATAGCAAATCTAATTGAAAAATATCTTTTATATTTTTCACAGCTTCTATATGTACAATAACAGTGTTACAAAAATTTTGGGCTATTTTGGAAACTGTCTTCTAATTATTTCCATTTTAGTTAGAATAAATGCACAAAAATTGTAAAATCAGGATAAACGGTTTGGAAACTCATTTTTATATTTTTTCCCAACTTAAGTATGTTTAGTGGCAGTACTATAAAAAGTTTGGAATTTTTTATCATCTGGATACTATTTTTCACGAATTTATATTTTTATGAAGGCTTAAAAATTTGGAAAAATAGTTAGTCACATCAAAAGTTCAAGGGAACATTTATGGAAGGCCTCTACTGTATTTAGATTGAAAATACAAAGTTTGAGAATTTTTGGAAACTGTTTGATAATATTTTGGATTTTTAGGAGTTTAAAACACCTTTAAATGTGTTGAAATACCCTCAATTAATATTACAGAAATCTGGAAAATAATATCCAAAAATTATCTTAATCACATGAGTTATAAAATATCACCATTTCAGAAAATTGTTACCCATTTAATATAAAACCAATATTAGAACAAAAATTTGGCATTTCTCTATATGTAGAATTTAGTATATTAACATTAGATTTCGACATAAAAACTCACTAGCGTGTGTTTGATGTCATAGGATCCCGGTAGTAAGGTGTTGGTATATTCCGAGGCACCACTTGTA